CCTTGAGTGGATAGAATATGGGGTATATGGGGTCTTACTATGGTTCCGGAGGACTTCCACATTCTATCCATGATATCCTAGGGATCCAAATAGCCCAATGTAGGTGACTAAAATTTGCAGACTTTAGAGCCAATGTAGGTAATATCTATAGACTTTTGGGCCCAATGTAGATATTATTTCTAGGCATGGGTCCCCAAGAATAAGGGGACTGTACCCTAAACCCTAAACCGAAAATCTAAACTCTAAACCCCAAATCAAAACCCTAAACACTGTACCACACCCACCCAACCCTAAAGCAAAAAAAAAAAAGGCCGAAACCCTGAAGCGAAACCCCAAACCCTCAACCCTAGTCTCTTTTCTGCTTTTCTGCGGGGGCGAGTCGACAGTCAGGAAGTCAGAGCTTCGCTCAGGGCGGCCTGGCCAGACAGGGCTTCACTTCAGCTCATCCCTCAAACGTCGTTTAGGAAGTTCAGGAGTTTTAGGCTTTAGGAGGTTTAGGGTTAGGAGGTTTCGGAGGTTTAGGGTTTAGGAGGTTGAGGGTTGAGGGTTTAGGAGGACCCCAATATAGATAGACCCAACAACACTAGAATCCGTACCCATAACCCCCCCAAAAAGGTACTCCTAACGTTGGAAGCTCCATTTTTTTTGTGAGCCCTTTGGCCTCTCGAAGCGTTCCAGGCGTCGCTGCCGCATTTCTTCGGGGGTGGCTTCGTTGGCACCGCCCCTCAGCCCATCCCCCATATGAGCATCCAAGCATCCCCAAGAGTATAGTAGAAATATCTGCAATGATGATAAAGTTTAACAACAATATTAGGAATTGTCATAATAACAATAATAGTAACGATAATGATAGTCAGAACAGTAATTCTAATAACAACAAGCTTCCAACGAGGTGTGCATGGGTAGTGGCGGCAGGGAATGGGGCAACGTCTTGCAGTCCAGCTGCAGAGTCTGACCAGGTGCCGTGCATTCCTGAGGCTGGCAGGCCACGTCAGGTAATTACAGACTATTCTTATGAGAGTTATGAGATTTTCAATACTATTTGTATGACTACTATGGCTATTGCTACGAATCCCTATATATAATCCCTAAATAATCACTATATAACCCATATATATATATATACATTACTGCTATTTCAATTGCTACTACTACTTGCATCTTCCAGATCTGGAGAGATGGAAAGACGCTGAGGCTCCAACTAGCTTCGCTGCACCTGCGCTAAACCCTAAGCCCTAAACACTATGTAACCCTAATATACTATAGCAATTTGCATTCTATTTTCCATTCTCCCCGTATAACCCCAATACAACCCTAATATAATCCCTATATATACCCCAATGTACTATAGTAGTTTCCATTTTATTTTCCATTATCCACCAAAAAAAACCCCAACAGACCTGACCTAGACTCTATAAGTCAACAAATGTCAAGATGTTTAGCCATCATTCGACGCGCCTTGCTGCCCTCGCGGCCCTGACCTTAGGACAAATGTAGTTTCTAAAGTTTCCCTAAGTAGGCGGGCCCCAACATGGACTCCAAAATACTTTCCAAGCAGGTACCCCTCATTTTGAGAAATCCCTTTCTTGCCAAAGCAAAGGAAGCACTGCCACAGAAACAAATCTAACCCTAAACCCGAAACAGTAGTTTCCATTCTATTTTCCATTCTCCCCGTACAACCCCAATATAAGCCCAATACAACCCCAATATAATCCCTATATATACCCCAATATACCATAGTAGTTTCTATTCTACTTTCCATTATCCCCATAGAACCCCAAGAAACAGCGGCAGAGGCTCCGGCAGCCTTGCATTCGTCCACCAGGGCTCTTGAGGAGTCTCAGAGGCCTGGTCATGATCCTTGGGGCTGTCCCCCTCTCCTGGCACCAACTCCTGGCCACCATCCTGCCAGGTCTTATTACCATTACTTAAGGTTCCGGGGCGGATTTTTTGAGCTTAGATTTCACAAAAATTCAAAGGGTACGTTTGAAAGGGCCTGAGGGTTCTGGGTTTAGCGTTGACTAAGCCCTGGCCCTAGGACCAGCGCATCAGCACAGCTCGGCAAACTCAGCAAGCCTCTCGCTCAGGCTTCCAGCAAGCTTGGCCCATGGCGGGAGCACGGCGCATTAGTCAAGCCCCACCAGCGCGAGGTGTGGCGTGTGGTTGGTTGATGTGAGCTACAAGCTAAACTCCTAGAATCCCCCTGAATAAGCCCTAGAATTGGACTAATAGGAACCCTATACATTCCCCCAAATAATCCCTGTCAAGGAGCTTAGCCTACAGCTCATGTTGGTTGGGCTAGCAGTCTGGCGCTTGTTGATTGGGTTCATCTTTTGGCAGCGAAGGGCATCCAACACTCGGCGCCTTACCTGTTCTGCTGCTACTGTTCTAAGACTCCACATGACGGACGAGCAGCTTCCAGCAGGGAGTAGCTGAGTAGGTACAGGATTGCAGAAATGGGCTTCAACCTTAAAAATCCTTGAAACTACCCTGTTGGCAGATTGCAAGAGATCAGCAACAACATGTAGCAAAGCGCTTTCAAGACAGCTGTTAAGTGTGCAGGAATTCCTGCTAAGGTATGTCGTGGATTTTCCCTACTGCTTGTATTCGGTCTCACAAAGCCAGAACAGCAATCAACGCGCTCATGACGCCAGTGAAGTGAGTCAGCAAACAGCTTGTGCCTCAACCAGGTACTTCATTGCGAAGTCATCGATACCCTTGGTGGTGAAGATGGCATTGACACCAGTATCCAGGATCTTTTGGATCTTCTCCTGCCACATCTTGGGTTTGCAGATTTAGGGCTATGAAGGAAAGGAGAAGGAGTGGAAACTAATTACTATCTACGGGTCCAGGGTGAGGGATGTTACCTCAAGTTTGGGGAACTAAATAGAAAAGAACATGGAAAGTGAACTGGTATGGGATTTTTGTATGGGGCAGTACAGTCACAGTTCCATTTCCTGTTCCATGTTGTTGTCCCCTTGATTCTCCATTCCTGCATAAACATTCCCCGTAACCCTCACGCAGACAGCATCAGCAGACGCTAAGCCCCAAGCCCTAACTCCAAACCCTAAACCTCAACCCCTCAACCCTTCCCCTAAACCCTAGACCCTGCACCCTTAACTCCAACCCCTAACCCCTAAAATCCAAACGGATGCTCGGCACCTTGGTGATGTCCATCTCCTTCTGCCGCACACGCTCGAGCTCCTCGGGGTCGTCGATCACGATGTTGACGTTCATGGACATGCGATGCTTCTTGAGGTCAAAATCCAGCAAAGCCTTGGGATGACGTTTAGGGTTTAGGGTTTTGTGACTCTTACACGTATTGCTACTCTTGACATTACTTCTAGAATTATCAGTATTCTTAGAAATTATACTTATTGATATTCTCATCGTTCATACTTGTTATTCTCATCATTGCTACTCTTGTTATTCTGTCTATTCAACATCATACATAGTTGTGCTGGGCCCTCTATAAATGTGTTTTAGGCCCCCGCAATCTTGGCTGGGGCAACCCAGGCAGGCATCTCCTGTCCACGTTGCGGAGAAGCGAGGGCGAAACATACAAGCAACATAATCTGGATCTACATGGGAGGAGAAAAATAAACGATGGTTGAGTATACATGTGTTTATATATATATATATGCGTGTATACCTCTCTTCCACATGTCCCTATTTCAGATACTACCCAAATGCGCGATTCTGATGCTTGTAGGCCTGCGAAGCCCTCATGATCCGCATCGCATAGCCGTTGGGAATCAGCACCGATTCGTGGCTGCTCTGACCGTGCGACTGGAGCACGTTGATCTGACGGCAACAAGGAAGCAGAGATAAGAACATGGAACGCTGTATCAGTATCTGTATCAAAGAGAGTGCAGCTGGGTACCATTGCAGAAGTATTTGTAGTATTAGAAGCATTCTGTTATCGCTCATAACCTTACCTTCTGCCATCTCATCTTAAACTATATGAGTTATACTCTAAACTCCTAGTATCCCCCTGAATGATCCCTGTAATATTCCCCAGTATAATCCCCTATAAAACCCCCTTGAAGGAGTTGAGACTATACCCTAAACCCTAATCCCTGTGCCTGGTTCACAGGGTACTTGGCCTTGCCCTGTGGGTTCACGATCTGGCGAGAAAGGAGCGCAAAGCGAGTACTTTGCTATCCTTATTGCTGGTTAGTAGAGAAGACAATCCCTGTAAAATCCTACATATTTGATACAACTATAATCCCTATATAACTTCTATAACTAAATAATCTCGAAATAGTGACTATTATATTAAAAATCCCTGCAGGGTTCCTATAGAACCCTATCGGATATCTTCACGTATTCCCTACTTACCCTAAGCCCTAAACTTTAAATAGTACTTTCCATTTTCGTTTCCATTATCCGTATGTAACCCTTTATTATACCTCTATTTTTCCCTCATCCCTACAAGCCCAAAACCCTATACTATATTCCCTTTATATAGTATCCCTAAATCCTAAACCCCTAAACCCTAAACCCCTAAACCCCTAAACCCTAAACCCCTAAACCCTAAACCCTAAACCCCTAAACCCCAAACCCCTAAACCCTAAATTCCCTATGCTATACTCCTATATGTAAGTATCTGGTCCTGTCTACTCCAGGCCTTCACAGCCTTCACGGCATCCACGATGATCTGGCAAAAGACCGCCTCCACACATCTGCTTTCCAGGGGTCAATAGGGAATATAGGGGTACAATTATATTGGGATAATGGAAAAGGAAAGCTTAGGATGGGGATTATATTGGGTTTGTAGGGATTAGGGAAATATAGGGGTACAATATGGGGTTATATCGGGATAAGGGAAAAGGAAATGGGAACTACTATTTGGGGTTCAGGGCTTGGCATCGGAATTGTATAGGGATGACATTCCTTCTGGCAGACTTGGGAGGCTCCTGCAGGTTTCCATGAATAGGGGGAACCCAGTATAGACCCCCAAACACTAGAATCCTTATCATTGGGACCCCCAAGATTGTATCCCTAAGTTTGGGAAACCCTAAACCCTATCCATCCCCATCTGCCCCCCCTATAGACCCCTATCTAAACCCTCTAACCCCTTTGAATGGCACCCCTAGTCTTGGGAAAGCCCTGACTGTATCGCAGCCCAGGGACGCTCTCCGAGCCAATGAACTTCGAGGAGAGAGATGTCCGCGCGATGTTCATCAAGGTGTCCTGTTCTTAGGGTTTAGGATTTAGGGTTTAGGAATTAGGGTCTAATTCGGTTTTAGGGGAAATAACATGGAAACTACTCTATAGTTGCGATGTTCATCAGGTTGTCCTCTAAAGCGCTTCAAGCTGCTTGAATCGTACTCTTAATAGTACTATTATGTCCTATAAATCTTGTTAATATCAATTATAACTACTATTGAATCATATTAGAATGAAAAGAAAATATAAACTACTATAGTATACTGAGGTAGATTTCAGGATACTATTCACCAGTATTAATATGAGGTCCTGCTACTCTTGTTATTAGTACTACTATTATGTGATATCATCCCCTGTTCGCGTGGTTGTCGAAATTATGGCCCTTTTTTGGATCCCTCTTATAAAACGGCACCTAATATTTAGGGTACCCAAAAAGTGACCAAACATTTTGACAACCACCCATATAACCCCTCTTCAAGGAGTTTAGACCCTAAACCCGAAACCCCATATACTCCCTATATAGCCTCTAGAGTAACCGCCTATGTAACCCCTCTTTAAGGCGTTTGAACCCTAAACCCTAATCTCCATATAATGCCTATATAGCCCCTATAGTAATCCCCTATATATAATCCCTCTTTAAGAAGTTTAAACCCTAAACCCTAATCCCCCATATAACCCCTCCTTAAGGAGTTTAGGCTACCCAGACGCCTGGGAGGATCTAAAAATTAGATCCCCTATATAGACCCATTATCACCCCTATATAATCCATATATAAGTCCCCCTATGGTTCTAGGGGATCGAATTTTTAGATCCTTTTGGGGGTCTGAGTATAGCTCATCTCATGGCAGAGCCCCTTCCTGCTCAAGGGTGTCCACCTTCAGGCTCAGATGCTCCTGTCTTTCAGGCAGCGGCGCTAGGCTTACTTGGGGGTTCGTAGGGAAGAAAGAAATATGGGGGTTCGATATAGGGAATACAGGAATAGACTATATGAAGGGAATATAGTATGGGGTTTAGGGTGTAGGGTTAGTAGGGAATAAAGAAAGTTTGGGGGGGGGGTATGATATAAGGCTTTAGAGCTTTGGGTTAGTAGGGTTCTGTATAGAGACTATATAGGGATTTTACTCCCTTATTCTCGACTAACCACCAGAAACTAGTCACTCTAAACCCTAAACGCGCAGCAAGCCGGGCGTGGTCCGTCCTGGATGTATTTGATGGACTCCCGCATGGCCAGGCGGTACCCCGCAATGATCGTCTAACAGGTTGCTGGGATGGTACACAACTTCACCAACAGTTTCTCCGAGCCCGAAACCGTGGGATGGATGTTGTTCTTGACCAGCTCATTGGCCCTCTTCAGCCTTAGAACTTAAGATGCGCCTCGAAATTCCTGACATTCTGCCTGCATCCCAGGTACAGTTCTGCTGCGATGATCACGACGGAAGTTGTCCCATCACCCACCTCAGAGTCCTTCCACACAAGCCCACGTATCTTTCTTTGGCTTAGGACCAGAGAATGGTGGAAGGGGTTTAGGGCACCGCTGTCCTGGAGATTGGCAAGTTCGACCAAAACCTTCGCTGCGGGATGCTCCACCTTGTCAAACGTGCAAGTATGTGCGGGTTTCCCAGAATCAGGGGTTCCTATGTGGGGGTCCGCATGAGAAAGAATTCTAGTATATGGGGGTCTACATCGCCGTCCACTTTTCAATCAGACTGCCAAGTATGTTACATTTTGCTACGTGTTCTTTCATGCCCTAGGGGTCCAAATAGCCCAAGCCCAGTGTAGGTAATACTTACAAATTCTAGGGCCCAATGTTGGTATTACTTGTTAACCTTCATCCCTATATAGCCCCTTTAAAGCCCCAGCTTCCATTTCATTTTCCATTTTCTTCACCATTTGATTCTCAATTTTTCAGGAGGATATGGATCCTAAACCCTAAACCTTAATCCCTATACCCTAATCCCTAAGCCCTAAAATGCTAATCCCTAGGGGATGGTCTTGCCTCCAGTTGCTTGAGGATGGTCGCCCCGTCGTTGGTGATGGTCACGTCGCCAATATCCTGGGTTGCCGTTAAGGAACTTACTATTTAGTTACCACAGTAAGGGAACCCTATCATTTTTTATATACTCATAATATGGTACCCTAAACCAAAAACCCTAAACCCTGAACTAGCTTAAGTTCCTTAACCGCAACCCAGCGTCGTCCACCAACATCTTATCCAAGCCCTGAGGCCCCAGGGAGGACTTCAGGATGTTCGCCAGGGCCTGGAGGATGAGAGGCAGCTTCCCTTTTCAAGCGGCTTATGATAAGTGTTACTAGTCTGTTTCATATAGTGATGACCTGTATTACTGTAAATTAACTCTGCTACTACTAGTATTACTAGTATTACGACGAATATGATTATTTCTAGTATTACTACTTGATACTGTTGTTCCTAGTATTATTAGTATTACCACTATGACTATGATTCCTAGTACCTCAAGGCAAACATGGGCCGGGCCATGACGGCGGTGACATTCGCCGACCGCACATCTGCGCCGCTTTCGCGCTGGCCTGGGCAAGTTGCTCCAGGACTGGGGTGCTGTTGAGGAACTTAGACGTTTCTTGGTAGTATCGTTATGCAGTATTCACACACTAAACTGCGACAACACGGGTGTGTATAAGGTTAACGTTCTTCAACGCTTTGGGCCAGATGTCCTGCCTTGGATCGTCAACCCCAGTTCGGAAGCCATGGCGCCTCTGGCTTCACTGCAAAGCTTGGGCCACCGGATTTGCCACGGTTCCTGATACACAAATTACGAGATTACTATGAATATTACTACTATTGATACGATTTATACTACCATTAAAACCATTCGTATTATTACCCTGGACTCCAATCTTTAACAGAATGAGGACAAGCTAGCCTGCGGCCGTTTTGCCAAAGAGGCGGGACAAGCTGAGCCATGTAGCCCCTTTGGGGCGAAAGGAGGGCCGGGCTCTTGGGATCCCTGGCCAGCTAGTCGAAGACGCACGTCTAAACTGTGATAGGCAAGAACCCTAGGGATCCAAACAGCCCAATGTAGGTAATATCTACAGACGTTAGGGCCCAATGTAGGTATTACTTGTGGACATGGATCCCCAGGGGAAGGTTTTGCCGACGCCTTTCTAGCAACGGCTTGTGTCCTTTTCGTGGACTTGCCCCACAACTGCTCATGCAGAGCCCTTCTTGGAGATGAGATCCCGTACGGAAGCATCTCCCGTCAAGAGCATCTTAAATCCTTCTTGACCAGAAGTTGACAGACAAAACATAGCTAAAGGGGGAAATTGCAATTGCAAAAAGGTGCTGCGTGTGCTGGTGGCTCAGTGAACACGTTCAGCGTCCCCATGTCCGGCGAAATTTAGAAGAAGCGCTCTTCGACTAGTTCCTGAGCATGAAGGGGATATAGACAAATAACATTCACTGATCCTATATCAATATGTCAGCATTTGAGGGCGCCACCCGTGCCCTGCTTCGGCCCCCATGGCCGCGGAGCACCAGTTTCTCAAGCTGCATCCTTGGCAAAGCTACATGGGTCTAGCGTTGCAAGGGTTTAGGATTTAGGGTTTAGGACTTAGGGTTTGGGACTTAGGGTTTAGGATTTAGGGTTTAGGATTTAGGGTTCTTTGGGTCGTTCCTCTTTATATTAACTGTCCGTAAAGGGGTTCTGTTTAGGGGGCTAGTATGATCCTAGTTACCTCTTGTGGTAACACTTACTGCAAGAGGAATGACGTAAAACATGCTCTTCTATTCTCGTACCTTAGACTAAACCATACTAGGCATACGTACTTATGGACTTAGACAGGTACATATACACATCTCTAAGAATATTGATGACACAAACAGGCAAGGGGAAACCCCCTCAGCTTCTTCCAGTCATTCCAGTCCCAGCCACTGCTGTGCAGCCAAGACCTCGCAATTAGAACAAACGTCGCACGCAAAAGATGCCGCTGAGTTCAACTTTGAGAAAGAACTAAACGAACAGGACTGGAACATTCAATGGAAGCTGGGTTTATGTAGGTAGTCATGAGGATTTTGGGGTTTGGAGCCTGCCCCCCGCTTCCCCCCCCTCTTTCCTGGCCTCGAGAAGGTCGGCGTTGCGGTCGTGCTCAACCAGCTGACCTCACAAGTTCCCTGCATCTTCCGAAGATTTCACAAAATAACTCCTACCACACCCATATATCCCTGAAACCCTGAACCCTAAAAATCCTTAAAGACCCATACATCCATAAACCCTAAACCCTAAACCCTAAATCCATAAACCCTAAACCCCCCTTGAAACCCCTCAGGCCCCTGGTGCAGCGCCTGAGAGCACCTGGTAAGACTGCTTGGTTAGCAGCGCGGTGACCCCATTCCCGTGCTTGACGATACGGACATGCTCCAAGCACTTTCCTCAGGAAGCAAGGGCATATGTACCCCCTCATCATACTCCCCTATACTCTCCTATAGAACCCCTTTGAGGAGTCCAGGCTATGGCTCCTAAGTACTTGGCGACTTGAACCGCAAGTAAGACGTGAAGCAAGCAGCTTGGGAACATATGAGCCATAGTCTAAACTCCTAGTATCCCCCTTAATAACCCCTATAGTAGTCCCCTATATAATCCCCTAGATAGCCCCCCTTGAAAAAGTTTAGACTATAGCTCATATGCCCTAGTATCCTACTCTAGTGCAAGCAAGTCTGGTCAACAACAGCATTGACAAGGAGCGCAAAGTACGCAAGCCATCCACCTGCCAGGACGCAGCCGCTCTACAAATCTCCATGAACATGAAATGGTCCAATGTAAAATTTAAAATGGCAAATATTCAGTATATGATATGTAGAATACCATATCATACATGGCCAACGATACGCTACACCTGTGTGTGTATATATACACATATATATATATATATTGTATGTGAGCGAGCCCATTATATCCACAACGCAATATACGTATGTCTACAGCTTGTGCAATAAGGACCAACGCAAATAAACCTGCATATAATATAGGTGCCGTACTACATTTCAGACCTAACGGGCGCCATAATTTGGAGAATAACCCTAAACCCTAAATAGTAGCTTCCATTTTCTTTTCCATTATCCCTAGATAACCCCAATATAACCCCGAAAAGAATACAATCCCTATAGTGGTTTCCATTTCTCTTCATTATCAATAATCGACACGTGCCCAGCCGTCTGCCTCAGCGACGATGGACGCCAGCGAGTAGATGTCTACCTTGACGGTGGGCCCTGTGGCCGTGAGGCACCTCCCACAGCCCAAAGTTTAGGATTTAGGGTTGTGTAGGGTAGTTTAGGGTTGTCTAGGGTTGTTTGGGGTTGTTTAGGGTTGTTTGGGGTAGTAGTCTGGGGTAGTTTAGCTTATGTTCTCCTCAGGGATCCAGGGCACAAAGGGCAATATTTTCGGGGGCGTGTGCCAGATTGCTATACCCCTAAGCGCTACAGTAGTCATGGCATTTTTCATGGCATTCTCCGCTCCATCCCTGCAGAACCCGTGTCTATCCCTAAACCCTAAGCCTTCAACCCTAAAACCCTAAACCCTAAACACCCCAAACCCTAAAACCCTAAATCCATAACTCCCTAAACCCCAAAACCCTAAACACCAAACACCCTAAGCCCTCAAACCCTCAAGACGGAATCCCCAAATGGCTTGTTCCCCCCCTCTTCTCAGGCTGAACCAGGCCAGGGAACCTATGGTCAAGGAGCTTGCCATACCTGGGTTGCTGTTAAGGAACTTCAATTAAACAACCATAATGGGCATATAAGGTTTAGGGCTTAGGGCGTAAGTTGCCATAATGGGTATATAAGGTGTAGGGCTCAGGGTTTAAGTTACCATAATGGCTATATAAGGGTATATAAGGTTTAGGGCCTAGGGTTCAAGGTTACCATACTGGGTATACCTAGTAAATCATAGGAACTCGCATTAAGTTACCATGGAACCTCCCCCCTCCGCCAATAATGGAGAATCACATGGAAAAGAACATGGATAATGAGATGAATAATAAGGATTTATGGAACATAAATTAAGTTATCATAATGGCTATATATAGTAACTACTAACTACTAGGGTTCCCCAATATAGCAACTTAATCTAAATTCGTTTAACAGCAATCCAGATACAGCTCCACGAGAAACTGCAGGCCGCCACGTAATCCCAGGTCGGAATTCTCAATGGCATTTGTGAGGAAAAGGGGCAGGTACTGAAATATGAAGGCCTGCAGGCTCAATCTCTGACTGGATTAGTTTAGGGTTTCGGGGTTTAGGGCCCTAAATTCTAAAGTCTTTTGGGTTTAGGGCATGATCATGTGCCTTGTGCAGGTGGCCGTCAAGAAGGAAGATCTCGTGCAGCGCGTCCTGGGCAGGCGTGATACATTGTCTTAGCTACTTTGCGGAGCAGCTTCCAATAGATTTTCCATCCATGATGGATCAGAAACGGAACCTACATTTCATCTTCATAGGGCATAGTATGCGACAAATACAAATATCTCTTTGTGTACATATTCGATTCTATACTATTTGTAGAACTGAACTTGTGAAAGTC